CCCCCTGTCCTTCCTCTTTTGCCATACGCCCTCTAGGAAGCGTCTATGGGACTGGCTGGGCACTAGGCAAACTTTGGGAGGTTCTGTTGTTGGGGACCATTGGGGCGTTTGCCTGACCCCTTAGGAGAGGAGGGTTTTTGTCCCTGGAACTGCTTGCCTCCAGTGAGGGCTAGCAGTGCCTGGGCCAGCAATTGAGCAGCCTGGTCTGCTGATGCTCCTGCACCCTGGCCAGCTGGGGGAGTAGATCCCCCCTAGCTAGTGCCTGCAGAGTGATCATCAAACTCGATGGCGTACAAGTTCCCCTTTCCCTTCCTCCTATTCTGGGAAGAGGGGTTGCCTCCCTTCTGGGGAGTGGACTGAACATGGAGTGTTGCCTCCATGTCCAAGGCTGCTCGGCCAAAAGRCCGCCAATCCTTGTGTCCTGCAAAGTACAGGGCCGTGGTATATTTCTCAGGAGCTGCCCTGATGAACCAAGTCAGTTGGTCCCTGTCAGACATCTCCAAACCGGGAGTAGAGGTGAGGCGCTCAAATTCTGCATAGAGCTTGSCCAGGAACCCCTGTACTTTGTCTGGCCAAGACTAACCAGCTCGTCTGCAGCTTTGCGGGCCTTCTCTTTGTCYGCAAACCTCGCCTCCAGACCCTGGAAGATGGTCTCTAATCCTGTTGCAACAGCCCAATCTGATAACTGCTTCTGAGACTTGGTAGCCTCAGAGGTCGCCCACTTCAATGCTGACCCACCGAACAGGGCCACAGTGGACTGCACCTTGTTAACCTCTGGGCAGATGAATCCCCTCAGATAGGACTTCATTGAAGCGATCCAATCTGACACATCCACTTTGGCGTCATCACCAGTGAATTTGTCAGGTTGCATCATCTTGGGGAAACGTTGTTCYTGATGGCCTGAGCTGCCAGCACCCAGTCTGAGATCCTAAGGGACAACCTGTTGCTTATTAGGCGAAGCAAGCTTTCCCTTGGGAGAAGGGGGTGGTGTTGCAGGGGGAGTAGGGACCGATTTAGGTTCGGTTTTGACTAATTGACGAGAGGTAGAGGTAGCAGAGTGGGGAGAGGTAATGAGATCTTGCCTRATTCGATCCAGGGACTCTACAATAGAAGACTGTTTGGCTTCAACTGTAGTCAAATGGTCTTCTATTGCAGCAGCCCGGTCCATCCAGGCAGTGAGGGCATCTTTGACTGAAGTGAACCCCAAACGGATCCACTAAGCCAACTTCCTGTTAGTGTCACTGAATCTTTCATCAGATTCAGCGGCCAAGAAATGTTCTKCCATCACTGCTCGTCTGGCTTCATTCTGAGCCTTTAGGTCTCCTTCATCCTTCTCTCTCCTCAGATTCTCAATCCTCTTGCGACTTTCCTCTACARCCGCCTCTTCCGTCTYAATCTCCAGCTCAATGGCGGTTTTGGGAACTACAGGATCCTTGCCTTTGTCATTCCCAKAACCGCCAGAGGCTGCGCCGTCAGCTATACCCAGTTAATAAATAAAAAATTCCCCAAAAAAATAAAATAAAATTCGGATTAGAGTTCACACACAGAACAACAATCTAATCAGAATCAGGCTGTACTGTTTACTCAGTTTGAGGGAAGGGTTAGGACAGATAGCAGATTAGTACTTCGTGTCTGTAGGCATTCAGGGAGGTTGCAGACAGCGGTCAACAGCAAAACAACATTTGTTCACTTTTACCGCACGCCCAACCGATCAGAAAAAAAAACAATACTTTCAGACCTGATCCCTACCGGATCTTCCCACGAACACCAGCATGATTAGCAAGGCAAGAACACCTGAGTCCATACGCAGAAAAAACAATAATTGCGGCGGGACGCTGTTCGTTTCGCAGAAATAAAAATAAAACCTGTAGTTTGCAGGCTGCAGGCTGCAAACCAACAGGTAGACTGTGTGGACTTGATTAGACTGACGACACAGCATTACTGTGCAAACCGTTCTGACACGACTGACAGACCACTTCTGGACTGACTGCTCTACACTGACACTTGATCTGACACGGCCAACTATGACAGGACAGATCAACAGGCAGCACGAAAAACGCAAACACAGCCTGTGCGCAGGCTCAAGACCCACGGTCAACTGCAGGCAAGGTCTGAGGGGGGTCAAACCGTTGACAACCCACTGACGACACAGACTGACAACACTCACCGACCTCCCGACAGGCCACGGAATGACAGACCCGACAGACCAGTTCTGACAGACTGACGGACTGACGTCGGAGGGACAGGTCGCCAGAACGAACTCACTCAATCAAGGTCTTGATTGGAGATTACCGCCGGTCAGTGCCCAAGCTGAATACTCGCCGCAAGTCCCAATTAATTGCCGCAGATTGAATTGTCGGCGTCTGTTCTGCAAAATTTGACCCTCAAGTGGTTGTCCAATACCGGTGGCTGGCCAAGCAGGCTGAGCCTGCCACTTTGAGGGTTGTCGTGCCCTCAGGTCGCCGGCCCACTAATTAGGGTTGACGTCCTAATTAGTGCCGGGGCCAACTCAAGCCAGGAGACCACTTTTTTTTTTTTTTTTTTTTGAACTCGCTTTCTCGCCCTTGCGTACCAATCAAGCGACAACTGTCGCCACCGATGTTGTTGAAGACTACGGGGCACCGCCCCCAACCGCCAACCGCCAGCCCGACAGATGTCGACCGCTAATTAGCCCACTGGATGCACGCGGTCGTGGCTTCGATACCAACTGTTATATACCCGATTGAACTTCAATCCACAACGAATTCACACGTTCCCATACACGCATGCAATTTCAGAGTAGACTCGAAGGAGGCAAATCCACACAAAACCAGAGAGGAGATATGCACAGCGGAAGCTCAAAATACACAGAGAATTGAAAAACGAATTTCAATTCTGCAATCCCTCATCCTCCTCCAATCAATCTAGAATACTTGTTCCAAGAATCCCAACCACGTTATCAACACCCATGGACCAATTATTTACAAGATTTCATCGAATACTTTGGGAGTCTTCTTCCTCCTCCCTCTTCCTCAAGCTCTAGCTATTGTGCCTGCGGGCACCCAACCAATATAGGTCCCAAATAATCCCTCGTCCAATGTCTCAATCCCAATATCGAGTCTGAATCCAAATTTCGTCAAGTCCCAAAGTCACCAATCTCTTTTTCTCTCTCATAGTCTGCAGATACCGAGAAGTCAGGTGGCGAGAGGGTGAGGGAGAGATGGTGGACTAAGAGGAGGAAGAAGAACTCTCTCTCTCCCTCTTGTACCAAGTACCAACCTGTGAAGGTGGTGCGTTGTTCCAGGTACATCGAAGACGAAGCTGGAGCTATGGCGCCATAGGTAAGTCTCCCTGGCCTCCGCCCTTCTCTCTCTCTCCCAACGCTACTCTACCTCCTAGCAGCGCCCAACTGCTGCAACGCTCCTCCAGAGTGCTGCTGCCGAAATCCTGAAGACTGCCTCCTGCCTCCTGCCTCCTACACGTGAAGTGCCCGTGAACTGCCTGGGAAGTCCTCGTGAACCACCTGCAGCCTGCAGGGCGGGCCAATACTATATAGTGCTGGCCCGTCCGGGAGGCTCCTCTTGCCAATTCCGAAACGTGCCGGACCCTGGCGTTGAAGTTCAAACAAAGGTTGTCTTGAAACAGGCCCAAAACTGGCCTGTGCTAAACCCTGTCTGGCACCTGAGTTTCAGCGCAGGTCGACTTTATGAGGGCCTGAAAATGACCCTCGTTTTCAGGCTTTTAGGCTGAAACGACACAGGGCCTGGAGGGCCCTTATTTTCCGCCTGGTCGGGCCCTGCAAGCTCGTGTGGATGCACAGTATGCCACAGTATCTGAGGCAGGCCCTGGGCGAGATACGCGACATGGACCCAACACTAGCTGTGAGCAGTTGGGCACGGGTAATCGCCATACGCCCTGGGCCTGATTCGTTTGGTCTGGGGCTCAGCCTCTCGGGGCCTACCGGAAGCTTCTGGGCCGGGGCCCAGTGCAGGCAGGCCACTTCCATTTAGGAATGTGCCTGCCCTCGCATTCGGCCTTCGGGCACTGGCTGCATGCTGCGCAAGCGTTGCTGCGCTAATCGCTGGCCAGCGCCCACGCGCTCACAGGCGAGCAGGAAGAGCAGGCAGCCATAGCCGAGCTGCCCTGCGCTAAGTTGGATGGGGCGCATGGTGGTCCTTGGGTGCAGGTGGCATCTGTGAGTGGGGGATCGAGGTTGTGAGTGATAAGAGAGACATACCTGGTACTTGAGGCGAACGGTATTGGCCAAGATCTGCTCGTACTTCGGGGAGCTGTCGATGTCACCAGCGACATTGTAGATAGGCTAGATAGGATCTGCCATTTGTAGTATGGGAGGAGCGCGCCAGATAGGAGATTGACATTGGTTCTTTGTTGATGATGATGAGACCATTCCAACATTGTCATTTGTGAGTTTTTGCTGTGTTCTTATTTGGTGGAACTCGAGTTGCAATTCTGCTTTTGGTTCGAGATCACGACTATCTGGTTTCATGCATATGATGTTGCCTCGTTTCTGGAATTCGCTATCGCTCATTTTCCTTGCAGTTGTGTCATCCCATCTGTGGGTTCTGGAAGGGCACATGGGACAAGGGTAGGCAAATCGTTGGTAAAGCAATGATAAATAATAGTCCATTATCCGAGTTTCCATTGTGAATCAATTTTTGTTTTTCTGATCAGACTTGGCCCAAACCCAACCCAACCCCAACCCATACCCAACCCAAACCCAACTCAAACCCAAATCAAACCCAAATCAAACCCAACTCAAACCCAACTCAAACTCGAACCCAACCCGAACTCAACCCGAACTCAACCCGAACTCAACCCGAACCGAACTAAACCCAATCCAAACCCAAACCCAACCCAAACCCAATTAAAACACATCTTTAACCCATCCCAACAGAACCAAAGCAAACCTCCTTTTTTGTATTGTCCACTTAACAGTCGTTTATTGGATGAAGTTCGCCGACTCAGTCATATTGATGTAACCATATTCAACTTGTTTGCAGGTGAACACAATTGCAGGGCTGGAATTACATGAGAATGTGCTGAACAAGGATGAAGCCGCCAGACTGGTAGAGCTGGTGATGGAGCTTAAGCAAGCGGGAAGAAGGGGAGATCTGTGGGGTGCGTGTGCTGCATGACACAAAGGAATCTGCTCCTTAGTGTTGCGCAAACATGTTTCTCTTTATGACAGAGGGAGGGAAAGATTTAATCTGCTGAAGACAGTGAAAAGATGATTGAGAGGAATGAATGTGGCTAACTGCTAGACCCCAATACAGGTTCTATCCAGCAGTGCAGTATTAGGAAAAATGTACATTAATTCATTCAACGAGTCCAATAATCCATATAGTAGAAGAAAGATGAAGTTCATCATGACCGCACATAAGACTTTACAAAGTACAATTGCGAAGTATTAGAAGTTCTGAAATTGAGTTGTGCAGGAGTAAAGCGCAAGGAATATCACAAGCGGTTATCGGGTAGCTGAAAATTCAGGAATGAAAATTTTGAAGTGAGAGTTTTGGGCAGTCTGAAAATCGTGAATGGTCGTGAAGTGGTAAAAGGTCCGAAGACCATGAAAACCACCTGTTTAGGCAGGCTGCATCCTGAAGTGGTGAAGGGTGTCCTGAAGTGGTCAAGTGAGAGTTTTGGGTAGTTTAAAAATCCTGAATGGTCCTGAAGTGGTGAAAGGTCCGAAGACCATGAAAACCACCCTTCACCACTTGAGGATGCAGCCTGCCTAAACAGGTGGTTTTTAGGGTCTTCGGAGCTTTCACCACTTCAGGACCATTCAGGATTTTGATACCTGAATGGTCCTGAAGTGGTGAAAGGTCCGAAGACCCTGAGAACCACCTGTTTATGCAGGTTGCATCCTGAAGTGGTGAAGGGTGTCCTGAAGTGCTGATGAAAAATGCGACTGTTGTAAACCTTCTCTCAGGAATAAGAGCGAGCTGCGAGAGCGATAAACAGAAAACCAAGTTGCAAAATAACGCAGAAGTCCAGATAGTCATGTATCAAGCAGAGAGCTCAAATGCACCAAGATTCCATCCAAATAAGAGCAATACAATGAACTCTTGAGCCAATGTCCAAACCCTCAGGCCACACCAACGCAGTATTCAATGTCGCTCCTACTGCTTGGCGCCCGGCGCCCAGCCTACTCTACTCGTCCTACCTAGCCTATCTACATCCGTGCAACAACCTTACTTTGACGACGAAGACCAATGTACACGACGTGAATACCAATGTCGACCTCCCACATACACCACGTACGTTGTAGGGCCAATCCCCAGTAGAGTTTCGAGCCTTAGTCGACCCCATTGCGGGTCCCAGTTGGCTCGGCCCGCCCAGGCTCATGATCAGGGCGCGGGCCATTCGTCCCAGGGTCATCCCCACCTAGTGCTTTGAGATAGATGGGGGTGGGCCATCGTGCGAGAGAGCTTTGACATTGGGGATGTAGCTCAATCCTCACGCCGGGTGGTAGTCTCACTGGTCATTCCGCAGCGCTGAATTTTTTATTTTTTTTATTCTTGGTTGTGTCCTCAAGCAATTGCTCCTTCCAATATGCTGGCAGTCCATGAGTTCTTTGAGAGTCTCTCTTCTCTTGTGCGCAGGCTAAGCGTCATCCTTAGGCCACACACCATTTCCTTAAGCATTGTGATCACACGACATTATGGGGGTGCGGCGATGTCGTCCTCCCCCTCACCTCTACGCACTCATCGGGTCCCATACATCTCATTCAACCCTATTGACGCAGGCCCCTTAGTCTTTTCGGGGCCTTTACATGCATGCATACGCAACTTCACATTTCCTTTGGCAAGATTTGCACTTCATTCCCTCATTCACATTCCAAGTCTCAAACGCAAAGGTCATTTCCATGGATTGGCTTTAAGCTAAGGGTCTCGTCGCCCCTTTGCCCCTCTTCCCTTTCCATTTTGCCGCCCGGTTCCTCCCGGCCTTTATTCCGCTCAAGGCATCCCTAGCCATCACTTACCTGCACAATCCCACACAAAGCAAAGATCTGTACAATCCCCCATTGGGGGTCAACACATAGCCCTTCCCACATGCCTATCTTTCCATGCTCTTTGGTTGCTCTTTATTCCCTTTTTTTTGCTCAATCAGCCCATCCTCTTCTCATAGTCATCCAGTCGGGGAAATGGTTGAGTCAAACTGACCTCGCTTCAACTCATGCTTTCTCCCGGATTCCGCCTCTTTCCCACTCTTTCAAACGTCCTTTCCTTTGCCTTCTTGGTGGCACAAGGGACCGACTACCCTCCCCTTGCCCTCTTTCTCCACCAAGTGAGGTCTGATTTCGTTTACCGTTTGCACCCTGGCATTGTAACAAGTGAGGTGAGAAGGGTTAGTCATATGCCAAGTGAGGGGAAGGGAGAGAGGGGGCAAGGCGAAGAGGGAGAGAGAGAGAAAAAGTGGGAGAGAGGGAAGAGAGAGAAAGACAGAGATAGAGACAGAGAGAGAGAGAGAGGGAGATAGATAGATAGATAGATAGATAGATAGATAGA